CTCCCCGCTCTGGCTCTGGTGAATTCTCTCGCCCTCCCGCGCTTCTGACTGTACCCAGTGCATGTATAAACAAAAAAAAAAACAAACAAACAAATAATAAATCATAAATAAATAAAAATACATGCCTCTTTAAAAAAAAAAATAAAGTTTAATAATTTATATAATAAAATGACACTTCCACTCTAATTTTCAGTTAGTCTTTCCCCAGCTTTCTGTGGTGTTAAACTGTGATTCAGACAGACATCACCTTCCTCTCCCGTGCCTTTCACAGACACCTACTTTTCACTCATTGATGAATCAGAATCACTGTGTCTGCTCTTCAGAATTATGCTTTTTGGAGAAATGTGCTGACTGCTTGAGGCCCGAGAAAGCACATGATGGCATTAAGAATGTTTTCTTCCCTCATTTAAAATGTGCAGGCCTGCTTCATGTTTTATGATTTGGAGTTATGATAGCTTCCTCCTTTAGTCTATAGTGAAGTTGAAAATGTTTCTGATTACCTAACGGGTGTGCAAGGAAACTTTGTTGTCCATCACATATAATGATCCTCATAAGACTTCCATCTTTTAGTAGGATGTTAGGTAGGGGAAAAGAAAAACTTGCTAATAAACAGGTTGTGGCCTCTTTGGATTTCAAAAGGTCTCTTTCAGGTAATGTAGTGATTCAGGTTTCTTCACTTGCCTCTAGCTTCCACTGAGGTGCATGTGATGGGTCTTTGGGAATGTGTTCAGACTGACCTCATAACTATGGAGCTGGAGAGAAGAGCTCAGACCATGTTGTTCTTTACAGGGCATTACTTGACAATGCCTGTCAAGTAATGATTCATTCTGCTTTGTCACCTTGCTGGGGTTCCCACACTACTTGGTATTGAAGAGTCTCGTGCTCTCCATTGTCTTGAGTACTATTTGTCTACTACCATGAAATCCCTCTAACTTACAGGTTTTATTCTGACCAAACCTCCTCTCATTATCTCTAGCACAGACAGAAGCTTCTAGTTTCTTACCTTGATGTACTTGAATCATCTCTAGCTTTTCCTCTGTCCAAGCTGTGGTGGTGTTCTCACACCATGTTAGGAATTGCTGATTATATGGTAGACCTAATTTTTAATATCTTGGGAAACCTCCATACTGTTTTCCATAGAGGCTGGACCCATCTACAGTATATTCCCATTGAGTTGACTTTTTTAATGCACATTTTAGGTCTTTCTCATAAAAATACTGCTTATGATTTTTAAAAAAGATGCCCACCTTGTTTCCTTTTGCTACTTACTTTTTCAGCAACTTGATTTAGATGTAATTCACATGCACTAAATTCTCTCCATTCAAGTATGTGCCATGGCTAATTGTGTGTTCAGAGCTGTGCAACCAGCCCACAGTCCATTTTAGCTCATTTTCACCATGTCAAAGAAGAAAGGCCATCCTCCAACCCTTCCATCCACTCATCCCCGTCCTCCCTCCCACAAGCCCAAGACAAAACACTTGCTGTACTTTCTGTATGGAATTTTCTATTCACATAAATTTGTGTGACTAGCTTCTTTCACTTAGCCTCTTTTCAAGAGTCATTCATATTGTAACTTATTACCAGTATTTCACTGCTTTAATTCACAAATTATACTCCATTGTAAGGGTATAGCACATTTTGTTTTAAAACATTCATAAAAATGGCTTGTTTCAGATTGTGATAGTTTGTTCGTCCTGTAACTTGATTGAGTAGATTGGGTTCTTTTCTCAATTCCCTCTCATATGCCCTGTCAGCCTGTTGATTTGAAATTAATACCAGATACAAACTTTAAATGATTTGATCAGTCAGATTTTTCTTTACAACCTCTTTCACAACAAAACAAAACGTTTATAATTGATTCTTGTGCATTCAAAGCAAATATTTTTAGTTTTAAAAGGTATTTTTAGTATCTCCTATTAGTGAAAACCTACCTAATGTGAGCTTTTTATCAAAATCTTTTATTACATAAGGAGATATTTAACTTGGGTGGTGGGGCAAGATAGGATAATTTTTTCCCCCTCTGAGTCTGACTTTTTTCTCTTAGTATGATGCATTCATTTTTTAATTTTTTTTTATTGTTCATTTTTAAACAATATTTGCTTCCCCTCACTCCCTCACGTGTAGACCCCATAGAGTTTCCTTCCCCAAGGCACCCGTGCACCATCACCTCAGTCCCCTGTGCTCCTCCCTCCCTCTGATCCCTCCCCCTCCTCCCCCACTGCAGGATGTCTCTGGTTTATAATTGTCTGTTTTTGCTTTGTTGTGTTTTGTGCTGTTATTATTTTTTACACTGATGTCTTACGTGGTTCCCCTATATTCTTGCTATAAGTGAAACCATCCGATATTTTTCTTTTTCCTTCTGGCTTATTTCACTGAGCATAATTCCTTCTAGCTCTATCTATGTTGCTGCGAATGGCATGATTTTATCTTTTTTGATTGCTGAATAATATTCCATGGTGTATATATACCACATCTTCTTGATCCAGTCATCTATTTTTGGGCATTTGGGTTGTTTCCAGGTTTTACCTATTGTAAATAGTGCTGCAATAAACTTAGGGGTACAGGTGCTTTTTTGAATCAATGTTTTTATGTCCTTTGGGTAGATCCCCAGGAGTGGGATTGCTGGGTCATATGGTAACTCCATTTTTAGTAGACTGCGGAACCTCCAGACAGCTTTCCATAGTGGTTGGACCAGTTTGCACTCCCACCAGCAATGTAGGAGAGTTCCTTCTTCACCACATCCTCGCCAACATTTGTTATTGCTAGTTTTTTTTAAATATGTGCCATTCTTACTGGTGCAAGGTGGTACCTCAATGTGGTTTTGATTTGCATTTTCCTGATGATAAGGGATGTTGAACATTTTTTCATATGCCTGTTGGCTATTTGCATTTCCTCTTTGGAGAAATGTCTTTTAAGTTCTTCTGCCCATTTCTTGACTGGATTGTTTACTTTGTTTTTGTTGAGTTGTGTGAGTTCTTTGTATATCTTTGTGATCAGTCCCTTATCAGTTGTATGGAGAGCAAAGATTTTTTTTCCCAGTCCGTGGGGTGTCTTGGTTAATGTCTCTTTTGCTGTGCAGAAGCCTTTCAGTTTGATGTAATCCCAGCGTTTATCTTTTCCTTGACTTTCTTTGCTTTGGGTGATGAGTCTTTAAAGATGTTACTGAGATGTATGCCTTGTAGTGTTTTACCTATATTTTCTTTTATATATTTTATGGTTTTAGGTCTTATGTCCAGGCAAGATAGGATAATTTTTCAGTGCTGCTTCAATTAAAACTATAGCCTTTCTGCTTCTCCAATATTTATCATATGAAGTTTTAATAGTAAATAATTTGTGAGATACCACAAATTATTTTTTATTTTATTTATTTTTAAAGATTTATTTATTTATACAAGAACTGGTTACAGTCAGAAGTGTAGGAGGGTGAGAGAATTCACCAGAGACAGAGTGGAGAGCAGAGCAGGCAGACTGACGAAACACACTGCTGAGGGGAGCAGCGGGCGGCAGGAGAGGTCTGCGCGCCATGCGGGACCCTCACCTGCTGGCCGGGGATTGAACCGGCACTGCAGAGGCTGATGGGCAGCTTCGCAACCCAGCACTCAACCGCTGCACAACTGGGTAGGCCCTCTACCCTTATTTTAAAAACTCATTTAGGGGTAGAAAAACTCCTAGAGCAGAAGGGAGAACATAATCAGGCCCTCCGCGACAGGATTATTGGTGGAGACTTTCAGGTGTGCACCTCTTCCACTTTGCAGCACCCACACACACAGATTCTTCTTTGCTGTAGTTTGCAAAGTGAAACTCAGAGAGTTTAAATACTCCAGCTCAGTAAACAACTCTAACTTAATAATACAGCAGTGCCATCTGAGACCCAAGTCAGTGTGACTCCAAAGCCATTGTTTTTTCTTCCCAGTTACTGAATTATCTTAAATATACACAGGAAGCCCCCTGAACCCAGAACGCAAGCGAGTACATGATCTATGTCCTGCTGATATCTCATAGCCAATAGCATATCTGTTTCTACCCGTTATGACCACACCACACCATTCGGGCATTTCCATTTTTATGTACTTGAACACACATTCTTCTAAACAGCATAAATCTGTCTTTTATAGTGAACATCTCATGAAAGAATTAACAGTGCAGGAATTTTTAGGGATCATATATCTTGGTTCTGCTCCTGGTTTATTTCAGAACTTCAACAAACTTAAATATCTCTTTGCTAAGTTATTTACTGTAGACTGAAAATAATGTTGTTTTTTCTTCCTGTTAAAAAGTCAGGGAATCAGCGAGTGAAAAAGAATAACTAGTTGTACTCTTTATTTTAAATTTGCTTTGATTTATTTTCTTTCAATAACTTATTTGTTTGGAAGTTAAACTTTTAAAGAGTATCTTTGTTTTATGATTATGGGTTTTATTTATTTACTTTTTTGGTATCTTCATGAACGAGGACTTGATATTAGTCATTGATGGTTGACAAAAATATGACAGAACTTTGCAAAGTTCAAATGGACTTTTAATATTCAACTCTGAAGACTCATGCCTAATTAGAGCTTCTGTTTAATTAAGATAACAATGCATAGTCCTTCATTAAAATTAACGCAGAAAAAGTTCCTTCTTGGTCCTTGGAGAGGATATTATATGCAAGCCCTGTTGTGTGGGTTGCAAAATGTCACTGGAATTTATATGCATTACTTGTCTAATTGCAGTAAATGTAGCATGTCCAGATAGGTTTCGAGTGAGAAGGCTGTTGGTTACTTACCGGGAATCACTTGAAACCTCAGTACCCAGAGGCAGCTGTGCCCAGGCCTTCACCTCTCCCCAGAGATGGCTGGGGAGCCTCTCGTTGGACCCTGTCTTTCATGGCGGGAGCAGTAAACATGACAGGTTGTTTGGGAGCCATCTGTTTAAAATGGCTGCTGCTTTGTATGCAGCAATGAACTTGAGATCAGTTTTCTGTCTTTCTTCGTGGTAACAGTCTGATTTTGGTGTCACAACAGGTGGAAGTTGATGGGTCGAAACTAAATGTGAACAGCACGTGGAACCTGGCTTCACCCTTACTGTCTGTCAACGTGGATGGCATTCAGAGGACGGTACAGGTGAGTGTTCTGATGATTCGCTTAGAGGGCTTTGTGGAGTCCCAAATCCTTACCCCAGCCCCTGTGTGGTTAATGCCTGCAAGACTAGGGAGAAGCTGCATTTTCCCATCTCATGCATTTTATACTTGGAAACCTTTCTTATTCAGAAGAGCTTAAGTCCTGTTCTGAGGAATCAATGATTTCTTTTTTTCAGTCCAGTCAGGAAGGTTGGTGTCATATATTTCATATTTCCTTATGCATAAAGTGCCCTGCATGGTTAGGAGATGAGCGGATTTTCTTTGCCTTGTGGGCTTGGGTTATAAAATACAACTTTGTTACCTTCCCCTCTGAGCAGTGGAAACTGTCCAGGCAGCTCAGCAGAAACGTGGGCCATCCAGGTCAACTTTCTGTGGCAAAGTGATGCCTTTGAAAAGTTGCATCATCTTAATTTGTTAACCTTTCTGTCCCCTCGGTATAAAAAACGCCTTGCATTTGAAGAGATGCCTTGAAGGCCAGTTGATCCACTGTCCTTTGTAATCACTGAGCTCCAGTCTAAAGTAGAAGGTGATTAAAAAAAAGGCTCAGCCAAGACTCCTCCCCTCAGCTGCTGGTTGAGGTTTAGGGGTCCAGGAAAAGCGAACCAAGCACCACGAAGTGCGTGGCCACCCATATATATATAAATTGTAAATTGTAACTCCCCACAGCACTAACTGCTCATCCTTTTTTCTTTTTTATGAAAATGACTTTGTGTTCCCTTAACTTGATTTGACATAAGAAATTGATTTTTAAAACTTTGAATAACCAGGAGAATCACAGAGACTGGCCTAGGCCAGATTCATATACACCATACACACTGTGGGGCTGAGCAGTCCGGAAACCCCCCAGGAAATGCTTGATGACTGAATCACCTTCCAGGCTATGATTTCTGTGTGTCCAAGAACATTAAACTCTCAGCCATGAGCCTTGAATTTTGACTTTGGTGTTATGACTTGTCTCAGTGTATATTTTCTCTCATACTCTCATTTTGAGATGAAACACTTTAAGACCCTTGGGGGGAATCACTGGATAAATTTTCATCACTTAGAGCTGTTTACTGTATCTCTAGAAACATGGCTTGTTCAGTAGGGTCTCCACACTGTGCGGTGGTCCGGGCCTTTGAGGGCTTTGACTCGAAGGACGTAGAATGCTTGATGGCATGGAGGGGACCTTGATACCTGGATCATGACCTCTTGAGAGTCCTTGTCAGTGGATGGTCTGTTGACACTTTAAGCTGTAGACGTTGTAGCTAAATCAACTGCAGATATGTTTTTAGAGTAATCTCCAGAACTCTTCTCCTTAGCATAGGGATATTAGTCAGTAAATTCTTTTCATCTCATAAGTTCTCTGCTTATTTTTCATTATTAACTAAAAAAATTAGTGCTGTTTTCACAACAGCAGTATGAAGTACGTGGTATTATTTATACTTTTGTAAATTAGGCAACTAACATATTGAGAGGAAAGGAAATGACTTGCTCAAGGTCACACAGCTAATGGTGTGTCAAGCCTGGATTTAAGTCCAAGCACTCCTGCCTTAGGTTCTGCGCTGCAGAGCCTTCCACTCCGCTGAGCACGCTAAAACACGTCGCTGTGATGACAGAGCTAGGAAGGAGCTGACCGCCAGTGCCTGCGCATCTCAGCACTCTCTCATTCATGCTTTAAACCAGCGATACTCAAACTCGGTAGCCTGCTTCAGAGTCAACTAGAAGACCTGTTCAAACTCAGTTTGTTGGACCCATCCACAGAGCTGACTCTGATTTAGTAGGTGCAGGGCCATAGTTTGAGAACAACTGCTTTAAACCTTTGCAATCAGAGACTAAGTTGGGAGGGATGAGCAAGCTGACAAGTACACACCAAGACCTTAAAGTCTTGTTAGTTACATCCCATGGACCCTGCTTTCTCCTTCAGACAGTGAGGATTTGGGGGACTGCATCGTGGAGAGTAGCACCTGTGCGCAGGTGTTGCTAGATGGAGAAGAAAGTCTGCCCTGGGCTCTTCCTGATTTCCCCTTTCTCGGAGGTGTGAGCTCTCTTCCCCCTGCTGAGTACTTCATACCACCCATTAGGCTGGTGTGTCTCCCTGGCTGATTTATGTCTTCTGACTTCATAAAGCCATACTGCTAGATGAAAATTCTAGTCATTATTGGTAATTTTATGAATGGAGGTAGTGATGTACCTACCTGAAGGGAGATTGTATTTTTGAAATGAAATCACTTGAAGAACTGGGCATACAAACTTTGAAAACTCTTAGAGACTCTTAAAGGTTCCCTTTAGAGGGCCTCCCTGGTGGCGCAGCGGTTGAGCGCTGGGTTGCGAAGCTGCCCCCAGCCTCTGCAGCGCCGGTTCAATCCCCGGCTGCTCCCCAGCCACCGGAGGAGGGTCCCACATGGCGCGCAGACCTCTGCTGCCGCCCGCTGCTCCCCTCAGCAGTGTCCTTCGGTCCTTCTGCCTGCTCTGCTCCCTGCTCTGGCTCTGGTGAATTCCCTCACCTTCCCGTGCTTCTGACTGTACCCAGTGCTTGTATAAATAAATAAATCTTTAAAAAAAAAAAGGTTCCCTTTAGAATTTTTATAACTTTTTAATCTATTGATTTATCTAATAATTAAACCAAGTTTTCTTCAAAGATCATCATTCCAGAAAAATGAAGTGACATTTCATATTTCTTTTTTGTTGTTGGCCACATGCCAGTAATTTCCTACTGTTTTCACTGGAACTGTGGAGTCCATCAGGAATGATGTTTATTAATAGGTCTTAGTGCTATAATCTGACACCCTAACAATCTTTCCTCATTTCTTTTGTGGAAAGACATGCTCTGATTTCCAGATTGGCAATTTAAAAGGGTGTGGAATGAAACTTCATTCTCCAGTACAAGTCTCATAGAGGTCTTGCCTACGAGTAAACTTTCCCAGTAGTCACTTTAAGAGAGTAAGAACAAGCAGACTTTTATTAATCCATTTTATGCAGCCCAGTATATTCAACATGTTAGCATTCCCCCATGAAACAAGAGAAAAGAAAATCATGAATGTGATTCTAGAAAGGATGCACACCCCTGACACGCAAATGACAGTACTACAGAAGTTTAAGTGATGGACCAATTAAAGTGAAATGTCATCCCAACTGCTGACCAAAATAATTTGTGCTTAACAGAAAAATACTACACTGCTTCCGTATTTAAATGAAAACGAAATAAAATTTAGTTTCTCAGTCATGCTAGTCATGTTTCAAGTTCTTAGTAAGTAACCACGTGGCTGGTGTTACTGGGTTAGATGACTTATAAATCGGAGTGTTTATGGAAGAAAAAAGGTGTACTGGCTTTTTAAGTGCTCCCTCGTGCCAACTACAGTTTTGATGTTTATCATTTAAAATCAGGAGTTGATGGGTTAGCTCCATTTTTAAATAAAAGATGGAGTTATCATCTACTTGACAGTTTTTACATCTTAATTTCAAAGTGTATCAAAAATCGGAACTATTGTTAAAAAGTGGAATGATTTCCTGCCTATAGCTTATAATTAAAGTGTTGAAACAAAACAAAAGACTTGTGTTCTGTGCGTGTGAGCTTGCTGATTTCTTCAGGCACCCAGGCACCTTCTAACAGTGGAACATGCTGGATGCACACAACATTCTTTTTTATTATTACTATGACTATTCCATTTGTGTGAAGCCATTTTTTTTTTTAACCTTGAAAGAGGTTCTTCAATTTTACTTTGAACAACTCAGATAGTTTTCTGTTTCTTTACAGTGCGTTTTGTCTGCTGGGCTTCAATATACTGTTTCTGGTTAGCATTGTGCATGCTGGATTTCCATCTTGCATAGTCCTGTTGTTCAAACATTTGCAAGCAGTGCCGGCTAACTGTATGGGCCTGCTTCTTTGTGTGCGTGATTTCTTCTTCCCACCTGCTCACAGCAGGTTGTCCACAGGCCTGAAGAGTAGCTAAATACTTTGGAAAATATCCTGAGATCCTGCTAAGGTCTAGCAATTTCTGCATTTATGTGTGGGGAAGCTATATATGCTGTAGTTTGGGGTTTTTTTTCTTCTTTTTATTTCTCATATTCTTGGTTAAATATTTTCAGGAGGAGATAATTGTATTATAAATAGCAGTACAAAGTGGATGGCAACACGATTGCATTCTACACTGAATAGGTCATTGATAGGCAGCTAAGTGGAACTAACTTTCTATGTCAAAGCAGACAAATTTGGAATAGTGCACATGAATCTTGTGTTATTCCCTACACAAGACCCGATTAATGGAATACTGTGAATTGATTGCAGTACCTGATGGATCATGTAACTTACATGCTCAGTGGGACTGCGCGGCATTGAATTTTATATTTACATGTTATATATAATGTAGAATTTTATATCATCTGGAGTATTTTATGAGTCCGTGGATATATGGTCAGAGATGTCGCCGCACTTGCATAGTACCAACTCTGATATATTTCCAAATGCTGTCCGCACTGAATTGAAGAGATTTTTTTTCTATTTCACCTTAGTTTTCGGTTTTTGAAGAAAATGAAATGATTTTCACATCCATTTAAGAAAGAAGTTAAAAAGTTATTTTCTTTTTTCGGTTTTATAGATTAAATAACTCCAAACCTTGAGAACAACCTTTAGTTTTTGTTCCAATATATAGAGATGCTAAAATAAATATTTAATATTTTGCTAAGAAAATTAAGTGAAGTGGCTTACGTTTTTACTTGTACTTTGCCAGTTCCTCCTGTCTCCCTCAAAAAAGTGGGCTTGAAGTAATCATCTTATGTTTTTAGTCCCTAAAATAAACGTTTTCCATGTTTTTAAGATGTTGCCCCACCCCCACCCTCTTAGAAGTAATTAGCAGTTATTTTGTACGAGATGCACATGGTTACTCAAATGCAATATGAAACCATCTATTTGGGATGTATAGGATATATAAATATATAACTTAGAATAAGTAGAGGTTGGTGTTTTTTCCCTAAAGAAGTAGGAAATGAAAGAGTAATTATTAACCATCGCCTCTTCACATTCCTGAAAACATCAATTACAGTTACACATCTTAGAAATAAGCCCACCCGCAGAACAGAAATAACTCCTTTCACAATTTTACAGCTGGGATGTATTTATAACTATAATTTGAAATATTAGTTTTGCTACAGGTCTACCTGCTTTGTAACGTAGCTCCAGAAATGTGGCTGCTGGCTTGTCTCTGATGGCACGTACTTTACGATGTGGAGTTGCTTTTAAAAATTTAATGCCATGGGAAAGTATCTTCTGATCCTCCCACCGCCAGCCCATGCACCCACACACAGGCACACTTTTTTCTCCTCTATTATCTCTTAACTAGAAAATTGTATTTTGGTAGCTTCCAGAAGAGAATTTTGAATAGTGTAAACACTGATTGTAGTAAACGTGGAAAATAATACCGGCAGCTGCAGTGAAGACCGATAAGACAAATCCCTTCGTAATGGCCTTTGAAGCCTATTATCAAGTGGGAAATCAGTGAGGGAAAAAGAAAACTATTAATATCACTTCCTTTTACAGGTCACTGAGATTACTTTTAAAGGTGAAATTGCCTGATTTTATTATTCTCGAAAGATACTGTTCAACCATTTGATTTGTTTTGTGACTGCTTTTACTTTGTTGGTGTTTGTCTAATTTTGTGTGAACTTGATCTTAACAAACTCTAACAAAGACTTTGTTAACAACTTATCATCTTATTTCTTATCAGTTCTTTAATGAAGAAAGTATATTTTGTAAACGTTGGAGCAGACTGTCAGTAAGAAAAGGAGATTTTTATCTTGCAGTGAAGATAGGAGATGGAGTAAAATTTTGGAGAAAATAATAGGAATGCAGTATGTTTCACATATATATAATTTTTAATTTACCTGTGATTAGCGTGTCTGGGGAAGGCATCTCTGTTGTGGCTTGCCTCCCGTCCATCACTGGCCTTGAGTGCTGTGTTCTTTGTGGATTCTGAAACCCAATTGTCTTTATCCTAGACTGTGGGGAAAGTGTATATCCCTGTGTCCTGTGGAGAAGTAAATTCCAATTTTAAGTGAAATTTTATTTCCATATTCTCCATCACATCAATCCCTATCGGTGACATATGTCAGCTTGTGGCTCCTCCCTCCCTTCTTCCCACTCCTCTCTCTCTCTCTCTCTCTCTCTCTCTATATATATATATATATATATATTATATATGTATGTATGTATGTATGTATATATGTATATATATGCTTATATATACATCATAACCTATTTTTAAATTGAATGCAAAGTGAAGAACAACTTATATTTATGGTTTATATTCATTGACATAATTTGTATTCTTAACCTAAAAATCTAAGTTTCAAATCCTATTTCCATTCCATATATTGCAAAATTGTTTCTGTTTGGCAGTCAGTCTAACCTTTGGTAAGTAGGGAAAAGGAACTACATAGATTTTTAAATATATTTTATTTTATGTATTTTTTGCATCATTTTTTATTTTTGTACAATTATGCATTTTCATCTTGGTTATATTCCCTATATGGTTCCACCCTGTTCCTTATTTTGACCCTAATCCCTTCTCCTCTCCCTCCTCCCATAGTGTGTCTCTGGTTTATAGTTGCTTGTTGATTTTGATTTTTGCTTTATTATAATTAGTCTTTTTCCTGGCCCCTTATTTAGGTTTTCCAAATTCCTGCTATGAGTGAAACCAGGAATTCCACTCCTCTGTATTTACCCAGAGGACACAGAATCATTCATTCAAAAGGGCACCTGCACCCCTATGTTTATAGCAGCACTATCTGCAATAGCTAAACTATGGATACATAGATTTTTTTAGTTTCTCTTATATAATAGGTCATGCCAGATGTGATGCAGGCAGTGTTCTAGACTCTGAAGACATGACAATGACCAAGACTTGTATTGCATTAGGAGATGGAGATACTAAACATGGAAACACATACTAGAGTAGTAATTGGTACTGAGATGTTTGATGAAGACTATAAGACAGGATAATTGATAGTAAGGGATGAGAGAAGGTAGCTAGAGCAAGAAGTCAACTCTGAGTGGCTAATATTGAGTTCAGACCTATGAGAAAGGGGGCAGCAGTGGAAAAATCTGGGGGAAGAAAGTCCCAAGTAGAAGGAACGGCAAGTGCAAAGGCCCTGTGAGAGGAATAGGCCTGGTGTGTGTGAAGGCCAGAAGGAAGATCATGTGTTGAGTGTAGTTAGGAGAATGGAAAAAAATAGGTGAAGACCAGATCATGTAGACTTTTTGTAGATCAAAGAACTTTTTCAACTATTATTGTGAAACTTTTTTTAAAAAAAGATTATACAAGAACTGGGGTATAGGCCAGATGCGTGGGAGGGTGAGAGGATTCACCAGAGACAGAGTAGGGAACAGAACAGGCAGACTGAAGAAATACACTCCTGAGGGGAGCAGCGGGCAAGACAGGAGAGGTCTGCTTTGCCATGTGGGATTCTCACTGGCCGGCCGGGATCGAACCTGCACTGCTGAGGCTGCCAACAGCTTCAGAGTGCAGCGCTCAACCGTCTGTGCCACCAGGGAGGCCCTATTATTGTGAAACTTTTGAGAAGTTTTAATAGGATGATATGATGTCATCTAACATCACTGTTGTGAGAAGGATGAACCACAGGGGGCCAAGTGTGGAGAAGGGAAATTATTTATAAGAGCATCCGGGAGAGAGGTGCTGATGGCTTCAACCAGGAATTCACCAAACCCTGCCCACCGCCTGCTTTTTTATAGCTCACAAGTGAGTGGCTATTGCAATTTTAAATGGTTGAAAAAAAATAAGAGAAGAATAATGTTTTGTGATACATGAAAAGTGTATGAGAGACAGATCTGTGTTTTCTCTCTGTGCTAAGTTTTGGAATTCTTGTTGATAGGAAGAAGCTTAAAATGCCTTGATTTTCCTTAGTACCCAACAGTTAGTGGCTTAGCAATGGTGGATTTATTGTGATTTTTTAGAACTCAGGACCAGTACTGAAATTTTTGTGAACAAGAAGAACTGCCCTCAGCCACTATTATCAAACACCAAACGGCTTTGAAAATTAGCTTATACTGCAGACTTGATGATGTTTCCTAATGAATTTAGTCTGAAATTACAATACAAAGCAGTGCTTACTTGCAAAATTTATACTGTGTTAAAGTCATTTTGACAACTGATGCTTGAATCACAAATAATGTCACGCTGCTTTTTACATTTCCCAGGCTGAAAAAGATTAAAATGAGAAGTGATCTACAGTTTCAGCAGCATTTTTCAAATCTCAGTGCAAGAGCAAACGGAAGTTTCCATTTTTATTTTATTTTTTAAAAAGATGTATTTATTTGCGCATACAAGAACTGGGGTGTAGGCCAGATGTGCCAGGGATCAAATTTGTGCTGCAGAGGCTGCGAATACCTTCACAGTGCTGTGCTTACCCCCTTGCACCACCAGGGAGGACTGGAAGTTTCCATTTTTTAAAAAAACATTTAACTCCCCAATTGAGCATCTTCAACTAACCTTCAGTTGAAAGAGATTAAACTGCAGTATAATGTTAGGCTAAAGGCAAATCTCAAAAGAAGAAGCTTAACAAAATTCTGTAAATGTCTTCCAAGCAATTAATTTGCTCAAGTAAAATCATATACCTGTGAATTGATGTTGGAATTTGGCAGGACCTATATGTGGTGATGGGGGGAAAGCATTTCAAACATGAAGTAAGTAAAGTCTTATTAGAGATTGGCATTCACAGATGCATGCTTACTATTGGCTTCAATGATAGGGAATGCTAATTTTGAGCTCCAATTAAACAAAATTTTATCCTTAAATAAACGAATTCCATTCTCTTTATTAGTCACCATTATTACAAAATAAACTGTGCTTTATATATTATTTTGAATGTTGTTAAAAAAAAGGTTTGTGAAAGTTTGTTATCCTTCTATTGTATGAGTAACTATGTAATGTTATAAGTTGCTTGTAATGGCTTCTGGGCTCACAAAGCCAAAAAGATTTACTGTATGACGTTTACAGAAAAAGTTTGGCAACCTTTGGTTTAGATTGAGACTGTCAATAGTGGAGATAGTAAGATTGAACTAATTTGACATATGTTTAAGAGGGAAGGCAGAAAGGATTGACAGATGAGTCAGATTCTAGGGAAGGGAGCTGAGAATTAAAGGTGAGCATCTAAGTGAATGGTGGTTTTATTTACTGAAATGAGAAGGCGGGTGGGAGGGGACAGGAGCTGGTCTGGGGAGGCAAATCAGGAAATTCTTTTTGAACTTAGTAGATTTAATATGTGCATGAGCTGTGTAAGCATTGAGGTCCACTTAAAAATTTACTATGAGTCTTGATCTCAGAGGACGAATGGGACTTGAAAACATAATTTCGATAGTCATGAATAAGCACCTAAGTTACTTCTAATAGCATGGATCTACCACGTGAAAAAGATTGAAATTGGACCCTTACACCATATATAAAAATTAACTCAAAATGGATTAAAACCGGTCACAAAAATTCGATAGTCATGAATAAGCACCTAAGTTACTTTTTTTTTTTTTAAAGAAGGATTTACTGAGAAGGTGGCATTTCTTTTTTATTCATTTATTTGTTTATTTTATTTGTTTGTTTATATATGCACTGGGTACAGTCAGAAGCACGGGAGGGTGAGAGAATTCACCAGAGCCAGAGCGGGGAGCAGAGCAGGCAGACGGACCCAAGTACACTGCTGAGGGGAGCAGTGGGTGGCAGGAGAGGTCTGCACGCCATGTGGGACCCTCCTCCGGTGGCCGGGGAGCAGCCGGGGATCGAACCAGCGCTGCAGAGGCCGCGGGGAGCTTCGCAACCCAGCGCTCAACCGCTGCGCCACCGGGGAGGCCCTCCTAAGTTACTTCTAATAGCATGGATCTGCCACATGAAAAAGATTGAAATTGGACCCTTACACAATATATAAAAATTAACTCAAAATGGATTAAAACCAGTCACAGAAAGGCAAATAGTCTATGAATCCACTTATATGAGATATTGAAAACAGTCAAATTCATGGAAATAGACAATAGAATGGTGGTTACCAGCAACCGGGCCGGGGTGTGGGGGAAGGATTTGTGTAGTGTGTATAGAATTTCAGATAACAAGATGAAAAAATTCTTGATCTGTTTCACAACAATATAAATACACTTAACACTATTAAACTATACACTTAAAGATGATTAAAATGGTAAATTTTATGTCTGTTGCCACAATAAAAGAAAAATCCTGTTGAAAATGACAAGAGCTGAAGCAATTTTTAAAAAGAATCACAAAGTTGGAAGACTTATACAACCTGTTTTCAAAACTGACTCTGAAATAGCCCTATTAAGACAGTGTGGGGTGATAAATAGACGGGGAGAGCAGGAGATCTGAGTAGAGCTTAGAAATAGATCTGGACACAGATGTTCAATTGGTTTTTGGCAACAGTGCTAAGAAATTCAGTGGGAAATTTTCTTAAGCAAATGGTCTTGAAACAACTGAATATCCATTTGGGGGAAAGACAGATTAGTGGCAAGTAGAATCTTTTGCAAGTGACAGAAGCCTTCTGTATCTTGATTCTGCTGGTATTTTTTTTTTTTTGTTTTGTTTTGTTTTGTTTTAAGTGGTATTGAGGGGTAGGAGGAGAAAGAGAAGCATGGATCTGGGTGGAATTACACAGAGGAAGGGGAAAGACAAGTGGACTGGAGACTGGTTGGGGTGGTCCAGAAGATAGAAATTGAAGGAAGAGGCAAAGCCAGCAAAGAGGCTAAGAAAGTACTGTCAAGGAGAAAGAGAAAGCTGGAGCGTGGGGTGTCCTTGAAATCAGTGAGTGAAATGTTCAGGGAAGGGAATCAACGACTCTTTATGGTGTTGATGAATAAGGTGAGGGCAAGACAGACCAATAAATAAGACAAAATGGAAGTGGTAGTCACCTTGACAAGAGTCCTTACTGATGGCAAACATCAGATGGATGTGAATTTCAAGGAGAATGGATAATGAAGAAGCAGAAGCCATGAAAATAGACAACTGTTCATGGTGTCTTGTCTTAAAAAGAGAAGAAGAAATGGGATAGTAACTTGAGGGAAATGTTGAAGGAAATTTTTATTCTCTTCATTTGAAGAAGCCCTAGCACTTGTCCTGTAGAATTTTCCATTGTTGGGATTTAGCTAATTGCAATCCATGGGTGTAGTTTAACATGTTCCCCCACTTTCTTCCCCTATAAATTATTTGGATCTAGTGATGTAATCAGGTGGAAGTACCATTACCTTTGGCCAGACTGAATCATAAGTTGTGTGGACCTTCCTCAGACGCAATCCTGGATGGTCATCCCTCTAACTGTGATGTTCTAACTCTGTTATTGGATCTTCTGTTACCTGGATTAATTCTTTAAAGAGAAACTCCACCTCAACTACTTCTCGGGTTACCCAGAAGTACAGTTTGCAGAGGAAAGAAGACAAATTTTTTCTTAATAGTTCTAAAAATAGTTGGTTTTCTATCATTCTTGAAAAGTGACCAAATGAGGATGTTTTGATATTTATCTGTTTTGAATTTGTGGATTTAAACCCAATTGATGTGCTCTCTTCTTTTGTAACACTCATCCTTACTAATGGTCAGAGTTTCTTCAAGTTGGCCCCTAAGTCCTTTGACATGGTCCTAGTCTTTGATAATTCCCTTGCTTTCTGATGTGACAAGATAGAGCAACCTCATTTCTGCCTCAGACCTGGAATCAGCCATTTTTCCAAGAAACATAGAGCACCAAATGGTATTTATAGAAAACCACTGGGGTGCTAGGAATGTTTGATGCCACTAGGCCTTTTCAGTGTTCTGAGGCAGATTCAGAAACTGTGTCACCACTGCTGTCTTTCCAGAATCCAATAACCACTCTTTTCCATCAGAAATTTTTTCACTCTGAAGAACTTGACCTCCGGCTCTAGAATTAGAATGTGTCCTTTTTCAGTAGAACATACCAAAGTTTATGTATATCTTCATTCTTTTTGTTCCTTAACTGCTGGCAGATCCATGAATTCCAGGTTTTACCTTTTTTTGCCTCCAATTCTTTGAATCATCAAAAAATTCTTCTAGTCCTTTCCTTGGCAAAGTGGTATAATCTACACTCATAAAAAGATGTAACTTAGTTGATTTTTAGGCAACAAAGAGAAAACATGCCACCTGTGCCAGAGGGGTCCAAAGGGTTTAAAACAATCTGGAAACTTTTTGGGTGACTAAGAGTCTTCTACCAAGAATATCAAACTGTACCAGTCTACTCCCTGTCTCTATGAATTTGCCTGTTCCTGACATTTCATCTTAAATGGAATCATTTAACATGTGGTCCCTTGTGAATGAGTTCTAGTAGTATTTGTTTTGGCACTCTCCTTTTTATGGCCAAGTAATATTCCCTTGTATGAATATGAATGCCATAGTTTGTATATTCATTCATGGTGGATGGACATTTGGGATATTTGACTATGGGGAATATTGCTGCTTTGAACATCCATGCACCTTTTTTTGTGTGTGGATTGTGCACTCATTTTGCACTTTTTTTTCCCCAGTGTCTTTCTCGAGAAGCGGGTGGGAGCATGAACATTCAGTTTCTTGGTACAGTGGTAAGTAAGAAAGAATGATTACTTTATTTACTTAGTAGATTACTTTATTTTCTTAGTAGATTTACAGAAAATAAAAAGTGTTTGCCTGATTTAACCTTATGTTTGAATCTGTCTTCATCATGGTTTTATTTTGCTATTAAATGAGAGGTCTTTGTGTAAGAAAAGGGTTCTTTACTGTTAGAGAAATTTCCATAATAGAATAATTTTAGTTTCTCCTTAAAACCAAAGATAATAGTTTAGAAAAATATTTGTAGTTTGTTGAGTGTTTTAAGTACTTTTTTCTACTGGAGATTTTCTCCCAGTTCTTATAATAAAAATAAAAACATGTTCTATAATGATGTTTTTGAAAAGAATGATCTTGATTTTTTTAATTAATTTTTTTGTTTAATTTTCCTCCTAGCATTCCCTTTTAGTTCTTTCAGACCTGTGTTTCTAATGAAATTAAATGACAATTTTCATCTTAATTTTTTCCACTTAAGATCCTATTAATCATTTTCCATATTGATGTAAAATATTTATAAGCATCCTTTTTAATGGAGGTATCGTTAACATTCTGGTGAGTAGATTTAGTATGGTTTATTTATCTGTGAATCTCACTGTTAAGTATTTGGAGTGCTAGTGAACAACTTCATGTGTTTTATTTTTTTGATGTTTGGGTTATTTTCAAACATGTACAGGATTTAAAAAATATGTACATATAAGATGTATTTCCTCATAAATAGAGTCAAAACCATGAATCATAAATGGTAGCTCTTAGTATAGTGCCACCACCATATATTATACCACTTTGTGCTCTGCCTGGTATTAGCTGTAATTTTCAGAGGTATTTAACTATCTGGTGAAAAAAGATTTACTTTCTATTCATTATTATCTGTACTTACAAGTTTACAATTATATTAGTGATACTAGTTACTTTAATTTTCAAAATACCTGTTGAGAAAGTTACTGTTTTAATTAGTGTCTCCTTGTTTATTGCTATTGTATTTGAATGTGTTCATTTGCTGGGTGTCATTTCTCATGTGGGAGATGCATGTCTGTCTCTGTGTGTACCTAGTTAAGGTTGTAGGTGCACACTGGGTATTTTTGATGACTTGATGGCAGTGAGAGCTTCAGAAATCTGTCCAGACAGGCCTGTGGCTCGGGTCCAGTGTAGAGATGTTGCAGCCACTGAGGCAGCTTCAGTATCCATGCTGTGCATTTATCCATGTGCGTGTGGATAGGGCAAGGGAGCTTATACAGTAAAGACATATTTTACAGTATCTGTATGTCCTGTAAGTGCTGGACCTAAGATGTGTGCTTTTATTTTTCTGATTAATAGCATCATATGCTTATTTAAAAAGAAATTAAATATGGAAATGCATATCATACAAATTATTAGAACTCTCAGAGAAATGACCACCAAAGGGTGTGTATGTTTGTGTGTGTGTCCCTGTGTCTGTGTACATACATATATATATTTAGAGAGACAGAAGGGCAGGTGCAGCCAAATGAAGAGAAAGAATTTAAGTAATTGATTCATATGATTGTGGAAGTAAATACTAAATCTGCAGGGCAGGCCAGAAAGAGTCAGTGCAAGTCCAAAGTGTGCCTGCAGAATTCCTTCTTGGGTGGGAGCACTGCCTTTTTCTTCTGCTGATTAGATGAGACTCACCCTCTTTTGTGTAGTCTTAACTAAAGGCTGCTAATTTGAATGTTAAATTCATCTGATAATAGGGAGCCTCCCTTGTGGTGCAGGGGTTAAAGTCTAATTGCTATCAAGCTATCTCCAGCCAATGCGTCATGAGTTCAATCCCCAGCCAAGGAGCTACCCACATGGCGCAGCAGACCTCTCCTGTCTCTCCCGCTGCTCCCCTCGGCAGTGTATTTCACTAGATCTGCCTGTTATGCTCCCCACTCTGGTGAATCCTCTCACACCCCCACACCTCTGGCCTACACCCCTATTCTTGGATGCATAAATAAACAAAAAATAAAATCTTTTAAAAAATCATTTAAAAATGTCTTCACAGAAGCATCTAGAATAATATTCAAATATTCGGGCCTAAACAAGTTGCATGTTGCCCAAAAGAAGAAAGAAGCTTCGACTATACTGAGCAGCTTCTTCATAGCTGTGCTGCTGGCATTTACCCAAGGACTCTCGAGGAACTATCAAATTATACGTCTTTGACGCTTAGCCAGAGATCTTAATGAAACCAAATCATACCGAAGTTCTTAAACTAATTTAAATCTCAAATTGTACATTTTAAATTAAGTTTTTATTGATAATAAATATACTTTATTTCTTATTAGCCTTGAAAGCTTGAGCGATAATACCAGTAGAATAAACATGTTTTACAAAGAGTTACCATTAAGAATGATATTAATATGACCCTCGATACACGAGCACAATTAGATTCCAAAGTAAGCATTTACGAAGTAACAGCGATTAATGACAACCATCGAAAACAATTTTGAACTCCATCAGTTTAACTCAGGAGGGTAAACTTAATATGATAATTCATCTAGTTGAATTGTATCAGCTTAGCAGGAAAGTATGTAAATATGTGACCCTTACCTAGCTTCTAAATGGATGCTGTGCTGATAGATTTATCAGTTCCATTAAAGAACTTTGGGGAACTTTGGAATTTCAGCAATTGTTCCCTTGGAGGCTGAAAACCCAACCTGATCTCATACTGGGACCATTCTGGTCTGCATATTTCCATAATTTGCCTTCGCTACTAATATGACAGCAAGACACAAATAACTGTTTCTAATAATATCAGATGGAGTTGTGGAGGACAGCATTTTAATGTAGTAAAAGACCTCCCCGTGGGGTTGTTATTGCTACTATAGAACAGCAGCCACACAGTTGCCACTGTAGTCTCTTAATTGATTCGTTTAATTAGCAAGAGCTGAAGCTTAGGCTGTATCTTGTCATCTGATATCATAGGGCCCAAGATTTGCCTCATTCCCATTTATAGATATATAAACACCATCAAGAACTTCTACATCTTCTGGAAACTCACTTAAGGATATGGAATTTTAATAGAGTAAATTCCCATTTGTTTAAAATCTAAATAATTGGAAAATGAAAAGAACAAGACGTGTTAATATTGTTTTTCTCTCTTCAGTATTTTTTTGTGAAGTAAATAATGCCATGCACTTTGGTTATAATGGTTTTGCGAACATAGACTTCCAGAAAAATTCTTCAGTCTTCCAGACTTCATAAGTCAGTAAGCAGGCAGTCCCTCACTCCTCTCTCATCTCCATCGACCCTTTTCTGCGTTATCTACCCCATTCCTCTCTCTGTATGAGTTGCTTTTCACTGCGGGGTCACTTGATGCCACTCCGTGGCCCAGCCTGCATTCGCAGCCTCCCCAAGTCGGCTGACTTAAGTCTTTCCTCTTGGGCTCACCTTCTGGCAGGTCTGCTGGCTGAAATGTCCCTTGGATTCACCCACCCAACCCCAACTGCACTGACTTCGAGTTCCATGGATGAAGAAGGCGGGGGGATGGGCGATGTCTGGCATCGAGTCCCCAAGCTTCCTCCAGATGGTCCTTCCACCCCACACACAGGGGACTCTATTCCCACGGGGTCAAACTCTACTTAACCCTCACCCTTCCCCATCCAGCCATAGAAGGCCAGTGGTGGCCACAGGCCAGATGTTTGGTGTAGGGTTGATGAATACAGATTTATTACCAAAAAAGTAAATCTGTAGAATTCTATCTTGCACATTCCCCAAAAAGGCAAATGTGGGCAAAATAGAATTTTATGAAATGCACTTAAAAAATGACATATTCTAAATAATAATAATCTTAATAATAATAATCTTCATCCCCAACATCATTTTCGTAATGTGTGTTCCGTGTACCATGTAACCAACCTAAGAGCGAGTTGTTGGAATATAATTAAATTTGCTTCCTTGTCCTCTGAAGTTGGCATGTGGCATGTTATATGAAAGTGCAGTGATTAATATCCCATTGCGTGATGCATGTTGAATAAAAACTTAGGCGAGATGGACTGCCTCTCCCTTGCCTACTAAGAAGTGTGCTAGGTGACTGTGCTTGGTTTCTGCTCTTAACCACTGACTGTGGGTAACAGTGAAGACAGACCAACATCGTGAGCATGGGGCAAGTGTGAGGTGGCCAGGCATAGGCTGATGTGGTTGATCTGTTAACTTCACAGTTTTCCTTACTCTGGTACAAAAGCTGTTAGTATCTGTGAGGCATAACCCATGGGGCATTGCTCTCTGAGTAAGAAAGTGCACTTCATGCCTCGCCTGTGTTTCTTTCACGAGGCTTTAAAGCCTAGTGCTTATGGTGGTTTATGTTGTCATTCTGATACTGATTGCTCATCTGTGATGAGATAGGCATAGGTTCTGACAGTGCAAAGGGGAGAAGACACCCCTGCCACAGCGAGCTCACTGTCAACTGAGGATCTATGTGAGCAGCTGATTACAGTGCGGTGCGATCAGAGTGGTGACAGCAGTGTGCATGGGGTTGGGTACCCTGGGACTTGGAAAAGGAAATGGAGGAATCATGAAAGCTCCCCAGGGATACAGAGAGAACAAGCGAAGACTCTCTGGATGAATAGTTTGCTGGCAGGGAAAGGCATTTCAGATAGAGGGGAACAGCATTTGCAAAGTTCCTGAGTCAAGATGTTCAGAAACTGCTGTGATGCCAGTGGAGAAGGTGCAGAGGACTGGAGAGGCCCAGGGGCCTGAGGAAGAGTGGATTGATTAGCAAGGGTGGCAGGTAGGTGGCAAGAGAATGGGAGAGAATGGCAGGAGCCTATGAGGCAGGACCCCTAAGAGAGATGGGTTTATCGAGGGGCTTAAAAAGGAGACACAGTGAGGTGTGTTTTGTATTGTTTTTATTTAAAAAGGAACTTGTAGGAGAAGGCAAATAAATGAGATTAAAAAAAATAAATAAATGAGAACCCAAATGGAGAAAAGGTAGAAGAGATGATGAGTTGGACTTGTATTTGGATTATTTTAAATTTAAAATGCCAGACATTTATGATGTCACAGAAATTTCTAGTCTAGAGAGCAGGAATAAGCTGAAGGATGAGCATGTAAACTGGTGCTTGGTGGGCATCGTGGAGGAGAGAACCGAAGCCCCTGCAGTGGGTGAGGTTGTCCAAGGGGATGACGGGAAAGGAGATTGGGGCTCAGCACGTGCCCCTGGGAAATGGCCCCATCTAAGACGGGGCAGGGGGTGTGCCTGGCCTCTCTAATATAATCATTAAAAAAATAACATTGTTTGTTGTCCAAATCATTTGCATTATATGTGGCCATTGGAAGCCAGTTTAGTCTAACCTCAATCATGATTTCACAGTATCCTAGGGTGTCTCTAATTATTTCAGAGTATCTCAAAATTCTGCTGCCATCTGCTAACGAGCCTCAAAATAAAATTAATTTTAATGAATAACATAGTGCCTTGCATTTGTAGGATGCTTTAAGGTTTTAGAACGCTTATTTGATTCCATTCAATTTCTAAGGTAAATAAGCCGACAGCAGCTTAGGGTTAGTTGTAAAAATTAGGCACACAGCACTCTTTGAAATGTTGTCAAATGCACATATTTGCAATTCCTGAGTTGTGTATTCACAAGAAATGCCCACCAAGCACTACAGGATGTTAGTGACTATTGGGGTGGGTGGGGGCAGGGATACTAAGTAAAGGTATATTCCCTGCATTTGAATCTTAGGTCTCCTACTACTGGCCTTGTGAACTTGAACAAGTTACTCCACTTCTCTGGGCCTCAATTGTCTTATGAGCAAAATAGCAACTTTTAGAGAAGTGGTGAGGGATGACTAAGAAAATGTTTGTAAAATGCTTGAAAACAGCAGGCCCTTGGCACATAGTAGCTCCAGCATTCTCACAGCCCCCCAAAATAGGTAATACACTTTTCCTTCCCTCTTGCTTACTTGCTTGGAGACATGCTGTCATCCGAAATTATAATCTCCACTGAGAGCACACTTGGTGCTCAGTCTATAGAAAAATTTAGAGGGGAAATCTCTTCTATTTGGAAAGGCTGATTTTTGTTCATATTACAGCAATGAGCTCCTCTCTCATGTTGTCATTGAATGCTGACTAGAAAGCGCGTATTTAAACGGGCAGCTTGTGGGCGCAGGAGGCTTAAGAACCTGACTTCCTTGAAGAGATAGGAAGCGCAACAACAGCCTTGACCAGGGAAGACGTTGGTGCCTAGCGTCTGAAAGGCAGAATGTTCTGGTAGAGGGCATTTATGGTGGTGCAAGGGGATGTCTGAGACTGTTTCATGGAGGCCCTTCGAGACCCCTGGGGTTAGCGCACACTGTGTTGGTCATTCTTACTCTGGGTACTCTGACTGTTGTTATTTAACTTAGGAAAAATGCAAAGCCCCAGGCTCTGCTCCTGGCAAAGCTGTCCCTGTGTCTGAAGGGAAGCCTCGGCATCTGCATTTGCCGAAGTCAGTTTAAATACACCAGGACTGGGATGTGAAATATATTTTGAGACTTAATGTAGAATTAGTAACTATTACAGGAAATGTCTACCAAAACCATCCTGGTGGTGTATGAGTCAAGCGTAGGGACCACATTCTGGATGCTGCTTACGGGATACTTAGAGGGTGGGGCTTGCATTCGCTGGGTTGTTTGAGGTGGTTCATCAGCTGGTGCAGACATTCATAACACAGACCGTTTCTTTTTTTTTTTAATTAAAAATTTTGGGATTTATTTATTTATACAAGAACTGGGGTACAGGCAAGAGGTATGTGGGGGGTAAGAGGATTCACCAGAGACATAGTGGGGAACATAACAAGCCAGGCAGATAGACTGAAATACACTGCTGAGGGGAGCAGCGGGCGAGACAGGAGAGGTCTGCTGCACCATGTGGGTAGCTCCCTCATCGGGGATCAAACTTGTGCTGCAGAGGCTGCGGATAGCTTCATAGATTGCTTCTTAACCCCTTGCGCCATCAGGGAGGCCCAGCACAGACCTTTTTAAAGGGAAGGGGCATGGTAGGGCCTAAAGTGTAATTAAATCCACAGTATCCTCAAGTGTATCTGTGATGTTCACTTGTTAATTGCAGGGTTTTTTTAGATTTAGCCTGAATTATTTCAAGTCTCAAACCCACAGGGCAGTGATAATTTGTTTTTTAATTTTTTCACCAAGAGCGGGGTTCTTTGACCTTGGCAGTCCTGACATTTTGAATTGGAAAATTCTTTGTTGTAGGGGACTGTTCTGTGCCTCATGGGGCAGCACCTCTGGCCTCTCCCCACCAGGTCCCAGAATATCTCCCCAGATACACCCAAATCAGACATCCACCGTCATCTCCAGACAGTGCTAAATGGGCCTGGGGGCTCAGGAGGCAAAATTACTCCTGAACCATCAGTCTAGGCTACAGGTAATAGTTGGGGTTTCAGAATTTCCTTTCCCAATTTGCTAATAAGCATAATGTTCTAGAGACGAAATTCCTAGATCTCTATGCCCAGTGACCGGAAGCTTATAAAGCTTTACCCGCATCCTGGCCCATGCAGGTACCTTCTGAAGAGAAAATGACAACCTTTAGCCTGAGCTTCCAGGGGCTTCGGAACACGTTCTGTTGGTGTTTGGTCGTGGGTAAGGGGTTCTCTTCTCTGTCTCCCCCATGTTGGATTGTAAGCCGGA